TCAATCAGATGATAAAAGTTCAAAATTGTGTACGTTCAATACCCCATTTGGACGTTACCATACGAGATAGCTCCAGCACCGGAAATTCATTAAAATACTTCTATAGATGATTTGTGGGAAATCCCAATAAATACATGATCGAAAATTGAAAAAAAAATAAAAAAAAATTGTTTAATATAAAGAAATGTGAACTAAATCAGACAGAAGTAAAATACCTGGGCCACCTCATAACAAAATATGGCATCAAACCCTGCTAGTTTGAAAGTAAAAGCAATGAAATTGATGCTCAACCCAAAATATAAGAAATGGGTACGAATATTTTTGGGTTTTGTGAATTATTCTGGCAAATTAATTCCAAAGTTATCATCTCTTGCGGCAGCGTTTCGGTCTCTGTTGAAAAACGATAATGCTTTTATTTTGAATAAAAAGCGTTGAGTAATAAGAAGCGTTTGAGAAAATCAAAAACATGATAAGTGAAAATGCGGTTTCAAAATATTTCAATGTTCACAAAACCTCCACGATCTCCAATGATGCATTTAAAGATGAAATGGTAGCAGTATTGTTACAGAATAACATGCCGTGTGCTCATGCTTCCTGTGCGTTAACAGACGCAGAAAAAAGATATGTTGTAGTATAAAAAAAATGCTTGGTGTTGCCTTTCGTTGTGAGAGGTTTCTTTAATTTGTATTTGGGAAGTGGTTCAAGATCCAAACAGATCAAAAACCACTAGTGTCTTTTTTTTAATCCTACCGACTGCGCTATGTAAATAAAACAATAGCTAGGCAAATTTAAAGTGAATAGAATTTAGATAAATATACCAGTATACTCTACACTAACGAACATAATAGAAACCTTCATTCCAAAGACTACCATGTAGAAACATTTTATTTATATTTTTATAATTGTTAAATTGATAGAAGTTACTTTGGATATAGAAAAATTATCGGCTTCTTTATATTAAAAAACCTTTGACATGATAATTATCAATTTTTATCATTTCCAGCAACATCAATCTGCTTATGAAACACGATTTCCTAGCGAAAAGTTTATTGCCTTCCCAAATCTCAGAAGACACCTACCAGCACGCTTTATTACATGCCAATAACACAATTGACATCAGGGAGTGCTCCTTGGACAGAGAATTGGATGCGGTGAATATATTTCCTTATAATAGCTTCCTTACTTCGAACATAGCTATGAATTGGAACTCTATTTTTCACATATGTTGATTTTTTTACAGGCTGCTGAAGGAACTGGTCTTGCCTTCATAGTTTTCACCCAAGCTATAGTGGAGCTGCCAGGCGCTCCATTCTGGGCGGTCATTTTCTTCATGATGCTGCTGTCGCTTGGAATTGGGTCACAGATCGGGATCTTGGAAGGAATGTTGTGTACAGTCTTCGATATTGAGATACTGAAAAGGGTTGGCAAGCAATATATCACAGGTGAGAAAAGTAATTATTTATGCATCAATGCATAAATTGCGGCGGCGCCGCAAATGCGCTTACGTTTCGGCCTTTGTATTACATCACGAGGTGATCTGCTATGTCAAGCCTCATTCCAAGCAGTAGATTGGGGTGGACATTTCTGTTCATCCCAAAAAACTGATGTCATGACCCTGCCTGCATATAAAACAGTCTTCACCTTGTTTGGAGCCGTTTCTCTATCTGATTTGATTGATGGACCCATGTTCCATCCATGGTTATGAAACTACGCAAGAATTGAAACAAACACCAAGTAATAGGGACAAACATAAACTATTCACATGTAGAACAGTGTTATTTACGTAATATTAATTTATTATTTAAAANGGCTTTCTTCTTCTCCATCTTCATACAAGAAATGTAAATGTCTTCTAAAGAAAAGAAGATTACCACAATTATGTATGAAGATGGAGAAGTAGAAAGCCAAAATCTCTTTTGTTTTCTATAAAATTTATATTTTGGTGTAAACCCGGATCAAAATCCGTCTATTTCAATTCAAACATAAACGTTGAGTTTCAGTTTAACTGATCAGAAAACGAAGCATAATCAAGTCATTTCACTGAAGCACATGTGTAGACTTTCAGAATGGTGTGTATCTGAATGAAATACAGTTCTCCCACAGCCAAAATTATTGCTACGGTAGTCTTCCAGATTACGTAACATCTTTGTCCCATAGACAGTACGGTACAACGTGTCAAGATGGACAGTGATGAAGGGGATTGTTCTAATATATCAAATGAAGTTCTAAGAACATAAGAATCTGGGAGTTCGAAGCGCCATCTTTGACTTAAAATGTTAACTACATTTTGAAGTGAGGAGTGAAATCAAATCATATGGAAACTGGTCGAACACGGCAAGGAATTTTACAAATGAAGTCGAAATGAGTCTTCATCAGCCAACTTGACACAAAATATTATGCTTAACGACTCAACGCCTTGAGGATTTCTCTACAATTCGTTTGCATCGTTATGAAGAAATAGGTACTACTATATCGTTGATAAGTGAAAAATCTGTTCAAACCCATCAATATGTAACCTTGCTCATAAGTTGCTTTGGTACCGTTTTGAAACCTCATAGCCATCACCTATTTCCCAAATTGAAATATTCCTTCACGAATTCCAGGTTGTGTACTTCACGTCAGTCTTTCCATATCTCGTGCTGACGATATTCTTCATAAGAGGAATCACTTTGAAAGGAGCAGCGGCTGGACTAGAACATATGCTGACACCCAAGGTTAGTAGATATGTTTTGACAATATTGATGTAGAATAAATAGAAAACCAAATGAGATTCATGACAGTTTTGGGTTTGATCACAAGATGAAACTATCATTATTTCGCTCTAGTTGAAATAGATCTTGACTGAGACAGCCATAGAAAAACCAAATCTAGTAGCTGATCAATTTAAGTCCCCCTCGACAGTCGATTTTCTGGAAAAGCACCACCCACTATTCCTTCACTAGAAAGATTGAACAACAAGTTGTTCGGTCGTTCACTGCACCAGTGGACCAATTTTTTTGTTTGCACATGTTGTTGAATGCTATATTCGTCCATGATGATTTGGCAAGCCAGACTGATTGAATGACAACTAATTTGACAGATGTAGCTTCAACCATTATCAATTTTCAAATTTCAAAAATACCTATTGAAACCGCAATTAAAGAAATACAATGTGAGGATGGCACAATAACTCAAGATAATAACATCAAAGCAGATATATTCAATAAGTTTTTCGTGAATGTAGGAAGACAGGTTGCAGATAAAATAAGTAAACCCACTACGAATATTCCAGAACAAACTCGTAATATAAATTCACTCTTCCTTACATCAGTTGCTGATAAAGAGATCAAAGAAATAATATACTCTCTGAAAAATAGAAAATCGCCAGGACATAATGGTATCAGAGCAGAAGAACTCAAGGAATTAGCAACTGAAATCACACCCTCACTAACACTTTTAATAAATAATATATTTCAAACCGGTCAATGTCCAAACACGTTCGAAAAATCGATAGTCACACCCATATTTAAAAAAGGAAAACCGGAGGTAGTCAGTAACTACAGGCCAATAT